TAAAGTAGCCTATATAGGCCTACTCAAGTTTTTTTAATCGGTGTTTGGAATAACTGTATAAATAAATTTTGCTTCAAAAAAAAGCATTTTTATAATGGTAAAGGTGTCTGCAACTTTTGTGAAGTATCAAATCACTGCTAGTATTAGCGGTCAAAACACGTGCATGACTGCATAAATTATACTTTTTTTAAAAAGTTGAATATTGTGCATGTATGCGTTTGTAACTAAAAAGTTCATATCGATAAATGTTCTCTTTGAACCACCAGGTGGCAATCTTTGTACTTTATTTTGGAGTGCAGAGTGCATACGTTTCATTGTATTTTTTTTTTACTTTATGTTTACTATTTTGCCAAGTGTATATAACTACTGTAAGAAAATATTAGCATTTGGTACATACTTTCAGAATTATGTTTGCTTGAAATGACCCTTTCTAATCCTGTTTATATGAATGAGCCTGGGGTCCGTTCTTCGTACGTGGATTACTCAGTTAGCTGGATTTGGATATTGACGATTTGACACGATCCAGGATTGTTTCGTTCTTCAAAGCTGATCCGAGAGTTGTTGTCATAGCAACAGTTCTGCTGGCTCAAACCTGATCGGGAGCAGGTTCAATTTATATAAACAGGATTAGATCGGCTCAGTTCAGGCAAAGATAATACAGAAAGTATGTTCCGAATTCTGATATTTTCTTACAGTAGTAGTTATATACACTTGCGAAAAGAGTAAATATTTTTTAAACTATATATATATATATATATATATATATATATATATATATAAGTTATAGTTATTAATAAAATAAATAAATAAATAAAGTTGTATATATTAATAAAACTTACGCAATCTGCACTCTCGAAATGAAAGTACAGAGACTGCCACCTGGTGGTGCACAGAGAAAACTTACTGATATTAACTTTTTAGATCGCTTAGTACAAATTGTGTATAATAAACATGCACAATATGTGACTTTTTAAAAGCAATAATACATTTATGCAGTCATGAACATGTTTTGACAGTTAATATGCCAGTGATTTGATGCTTCACAAAAGTTGCAGACGCCTTTACCAATATCAAAATGCTTTTGTAAACAACCAGTTATTCTTTACACCGATTAAAAAAACGGCTTCTATAATAAAGAAAATCTTTTCTAAACGTAGAACTAAATACACTGATATGCACTGAAATACATGATGAATACTCTTGACACATGAAAGTGTAAAGCCTGCAGCTCACAACAAATGTGGAAGGTTATTGCGTGTCATATTTAACAAACCATTTATTGCTAACTTGACGTAATTTTGCTCACATGGATAATTGAATATTAATCAGATGATGTCATTACGCTGCTGTGCCGTCAGCCAATCGTTGCATTGCTGATCATGATTTCGAGGATCGATAGATCTGTCCTTCACAACACACGCAGCGATCTCAGATCAGTTTATCCAGACATTCTAATCTGATTCGCGAACTCGTTTGAAGAACCAAATTAGCGAGAGATCAGTTATCAAGATTAAAAGATCCGGGATCTGCCAAATAATCTTACTGCCAAATAAACTGATCTGAGATCTCTGCGTGTGTTGTGAAGGACAGATCTATCGATCCTCGAAATCATGATCAGCAATGCAACGATTGGCTGACGGCACAGCAGCGTAATGACATCATCTGATTAATATTCAATTATCCATGTGAGCAAAATTACGTCAAATTAGCAGTAAACGGCTTGTTAAATATGACACGCAAGAACTTTCCACAGTTGTTGTGAGCTCCAGGCTTTCTACTTTCATGTGTCAAGTGTATTCATCATGTATTTCAATGCAAATCAATGTATTTAGTTCCACATTTAGAAAAAAATTTTTTATTATAGTAGCCGTTTTTTAATCGGTGTAAAGATGGTTGTTTACAAAAGCATTTTCATATTGGTAAAGGCGTCTGCAACTTTTGTGACGCATCAAATCACCGGCATATTAACTATCAAAACATGTTTATGACTGCATAAATGTATTATTGCTTTAAAAAAGTCACATATTGTGCATTTCTATTATACACAATTTGTACTAAAGCAATCTAAAAAGTTCATATCAATAAGTTTTCTCTTTGCACCACCAGGTGGCAATCTTTGTAGCCTGCTTTTATTTCGAGGGTGCAGATTGCATACATTTCATTAAAATGTATAACTTAATTTATTTTATTAATGACTATAACTTTATATATATATATATATATATATATATATATATATATATATATATATATATATATATATATATAGTTAAAAAATATGTACCATTTTCCCAAGTGTATATAACTACTACCGTAAGAAAATATCAGAATTCGGAACATACTTTCTGTATTATCTTTGCTTGCACTGAGCCGATCTAATCCTGTTTATATGAATTGAACCTGCTCCCGATCAGGTTTGACCTAGCAGAACTGTTGCTATGACAACAACTCTCGGATCAGCTTTGAAGAACGAAACGATCCTGGATCGTGTCAAATCGTCAATATCCAAATCCAGCTAACTGAGTAATCCACGTACGAAGAATGGACCCCAGGTTTAAGCTACCAGAACTGTTGCTATAACAAAAAATTTAAAATGAATTTTGAAGAACTAAACAATCCTGGATCATGTCAAATCGTCAATATACAAATCCAGCTAACTGAATAATCCAACTACGAAGAACAGACCCCAGCTGCGTACTCATAGCGAAAGATTAAAACAAAACCTTTGTTGAAGCACATTTATAAACCTAACACTGATGACCCATGTCTCCAAACAATTCTTGTTCTTCCACTTGTTTTGCCAACAAAAACGTGGCGTCTCTCTGTGATTCTGTAAGTGAATTCAATGTTAGTGAAATAAAAAGAAATGGTTCGATGTAAAAGTGCAGGTTAAGAGGAGAACAGTGGCGCACCATCAAAGTGTGGACCAAACAGGCGGGGGAACAGGAAATGCTGAACTAACACTCTTTGAGGAGAGAATTGCCTCAATTGTGGGAAACACTTTACTGTCTGGAGTAGTATCCATGTTTGTGGGAGACAAAGATGTATATTAGGGCAACACCTCCGCTCTTATCAGGCAACGTCACCGGCATTTCAGTTGCCCAATTGCCTGCTCTACAACTGAACGAGTGCCTGCCATCTTGTAGCCTCATCCCAATCATGCTGTTTGTGGGAATGAATTAATCATGGGTTGACCTAGGCCACCTTGCTACAATATTTGTTGAGCGCATTTGAGCATCACATATTATTTGCACATTTATTGAATGAAAAAGTTTCCGATTCACGAATGCAAATTCGTCTTCAGATGGTTCCTTTATAGCAATGTGCATGCAGTCGATCGCTCTGATTACATTGGAAAAAACGGCGATCACTGCAAATTGCGCTTTATTGTTTGGCTGGTCAACTGCATGGTATGGAAACCTGCTAGACATGTGGGTGATCCCGTCCTATATAGCTGGCATTGCACGGCTCAAAGATACTTTGTAGTGTGCGAATTAACATGATTGCCCCTAGGAGTCGCCAGTTAAAATAAAACAAACACACACAAGAAATACACATACGCCCAACATGAAGTGAGAGTGGACCAACGCACATTCTCACGTTAATTTCATTGTTAGTAAATCCAAACGTGAGTGTGAAATCTGGCGTACGGAAAGTTTTTGTGCGTACGCCGCGTTGATACATGAGGCCCTAGGTGTGAATGGTAAATTGTTTGGCGAAAATACAGCTTAATACCAGGTGTCAACAGGGCCTAAGATCCCTCTGGCAAATTAGTTATTGAATGTTATCGTGGGCGAAGCAGTGGCGCAGTAGGTAGTGTTGCCGCCTCATAGCAAGAAGGTCGCTGGGTCGCTGGTTCGAGCCTCGGCTCAGTTGCCGTTTCTGTGTGGAGTTTGCATGTTCTCCCTGCGTTCGCGTGGGTTTCCTCCGGGTGCTCTGGTTTCCCCCACAGTCCAAAAACATGCGGTACAGGTGAATTGGGTAGGCTAAATTGTCCGTAGTGTGTGTGTGTGAATGTGTGTGTGGATGTTTCCCAGGGATGGGTTGCGGCTGAAAGGGCATCCGCTGTGTAAAAACTTGCTGGATAAGTTGGCGGTTCATTCCGCTGTGGCGACCCAGATCAATAAAGGGACTAAACCTACAAGAAAATGAACGAATTTTATCGTGGATTAATTTTGACACATGAAACAATTTCATCAAACATTGTTTGATGCTGAAAATCAATTACCTTGTTGAAAAACAACTTGTGGTCCATAAATGCTTTTGTAAACACAATAAAATTTTCGGGTATGGAAATTGACAAAATAAATATTCATGTATGTCCCTGCTTCGGGCCCCACTACTTTATTACTGTATTTTGTTAATATTCTGTCAATGAATAAAAATTGTCAATATTATGCTAAAAAGATGCACACACAGCTAGAGTATAACTGACTGATGTAGCTGAAGAATCCTTCTGGAGCAGAAAACAGATAAAAGGAAGAAAACAGTGGAAGTGAAAGAATAGCTATAATAAGGTAATGTGTGAAGATTAATTAAAACTAAAATAGGTTAATTGCAAACTCATATTAGCTGGCAAGTTCATACCATAGCAAGAAACTTGTTTTCTTAAACATCCAAAGGTAGCTGTGCAGTCTTAATATATTCAAATACAAAAGATCTCTTAGCTGGTTTTAAGTTTTTTATTTGTCTTCTGAGTAAAAAAACTTTCCTGGAAATATCTTTCTGTGATAAACAAATCATAAATTTGATATCTATAATAAAAACAATTGTACTGTTACCATTTTAAAATTACTTAACACTAGCCGACCTATGGGTTTTTTATCATTTTATTCCAGTATCATTAGGCCTAAAAAATTTAAATGTATCGCTTAGCTGTATGTTGTTGTAGGAAAAAAAATCTAATGTTAAAATAACACTCTGTTTCAGGTTTTCTAGTTGTGCTTATATGCTCTGAAGGAGTAATGAGCAGAGGTGGGAGGTGTAGTCACATGACACTTGTCAGGCTGAAGTCACATGGTTTGTGTTTGCAGTCACTTCAGAACAGCACAAATTTCTACACACAGTTATGATGAAAGTGTTTCATGCTTCCTTAGTGAAATACTGAAAACTACATAGGACCATTTAATTCTGAACAGGCAGTGAAAATATGGAAATACCAGCCATAAATCTGAAGGTAATTTATTTTCAATCATTTGTGCATTACAGTGAGTACATTGATATTATTCATTATCAAATAATTATTTGATTGCTAAAGTATCCATTAAAAGTTTAAAGATAAAAAGTTTTGTCATTGTGGTGTCATTGTGGTTTTGTCATTTAAAAATGAGTCTACATTTTATGAAACCAAATGGGAGGCTTCAAAGATCACTTTCTTAAAGAATGTATCAGTAACTGCTATTGTTATAACTGCAAGCAAGCTTTTACATTAAGTTGATTGTTGTTATTGTGAGGGTGCAGCGAGGAAACAATAACATTCTGAATGGAAACACAAGGAAATCCTTGCTCTTTCTTTTGATTTAAAGCAGAATTTGTTCAAAGCATGCTGACCATAACACATTTTCTATTTTATAAATACCCCACATTATAAGTGCAGCAACACACTGTCTCTAGAAAATAATATACTATATGTGTGCATTTACTCATGAACTGCACTATATGTGTTCTCTCTGCAGGCCATTTTGTTGGTTCACTGGATACTGACAGTTTGGTGAGAGTTATGGCACATTTTTGCTGTTTTTCATCACTAACCTGAGGAATTTCACCTTCGGTGAATGTTTATCTTCCAGTTTTCTATTCATCAGAAATATTTCTTCTTCAAATTGAAGCTTTCTAAATATCTGTTAAACACCTAAACATACAGTTGTTTTTCTTAAGTAGTAGTACATTGAAAAAGTGACTAAAGTGCACATATTTTCAAATATCCCCCATTTGCATATTTTAAATATAGTGGAAGCTTTACACTTTCAGTTAAAGGTCAAAGTATTTCATTAATACTGTGTGCATTTTTCGAGGAGGCAAATCAATCAAATTAATTCAGCTGTTCAAAAAATAGCAGTATTAATATTTTCTTCTTTAAACTGAATTACTTCTAAATACATTTTTACATATCAGTTTAAATTACTGAAGAAATATTTAGTTCCATAGCCATTGTTTAAATGAGTACGCCCCTCACAGATCTCTCTTTGAAATTAATATAATCCGTAGGATGCTATACAGTTATATATTTGAGCATATACAGTAGATTGGATTAGCTAAAACTGAAACTAATCTAACAAAATTAAATAAAAATGACAGATAACAGTCCATAAATATGTACAGGCCAATTTATTATGTTGGGAAAAATATTGCACACAATTCTAATAAACAGGAAAAATTAAAAACATTAAAAAGAGAGAATTTAGTTAGAATTTGGGTTTTTTATTTCAATGTTTGAATTTAGTTGTATTAGCTTTCTATTACTAAAGAAATTAGGTGGCCAATCTCTTATTTTAATGGATATAGATTTTAGGGATTTATGGATATAAATATATTGGCTATATAGGGTATTTGCACACAGACTTTTAATTTTCAGCCAGGCAGCCCAAGGGCTTCCAGTAAAACTGTTTTTCCATTACAAAATTGTAACATTTAAGATCTGATTTCTTTAAAAATCAGCAATCTTCACTGCCTGTTAGATATAACAGAAGAAGAATTGCATTAAATTACATTTCCTCCCGCCATTTCTTTAAAATATGACAGTTTATTTTCACCCAGTATTTTCAATTAAGTGTCTGCGTAGCCTGTTGCTACTGACAGTCCTAGTGGTTACAACGGTCTTTCATCTTGTTTTACACCTAAACAACTAAATGAATGCTAAAGTCTGTGAATGTTATCGACTTTCGCTTTCAGATTTAAAGGGCTAGCATTGCACCAGACCCCCGTAAGTGGTGTGGTTTGAAAATGTAGAATCTAGATTTTATCAACATATGCATCACTTTGGTTTTCATTCTACTGTATAAAAGTTATTTACACTTAAATTCACAGTATTTTGGATACCCCAGCTAGGTATTTTACATTGTTCATTTTCATATTTTTTTTATATGACACATGTCACAAGTTATAGCTCAATTGAAATCTCTTGCCGGTGCTCATTCAGTTCTAGCATTCTTTTTACTGAATTATATTCATATTCCAAACAGTTGTTGAATGAATTGTGGTGTTTCCAGGGCGCAGAAATGTAAACAATACATTTATGATCAATAAGCAGCCCCAGATAGCACAGACAGCTGTCATCTCTTACCTTATGCTGTGCCCTTCAGGGCCATTCTCCTCTGTTTTTGAGGTGATGTGCATAAGTAATCCTTTTATATGTCTGATGTGGTCCAAACTCAGTGAATTATATTTGATCAAACAAAAGAATAGTGAAATATGAAAACAATGATCGATCCCTGTGGCTTGTACAGCACCTCTCATCAGTTGGAATGCAATAACTTTTGCATAGATTATGGTAAAGACTTTTTTCTTTTTTTAGACATGTGCAGGAACCACTCAAATTAATTACAGCACGCTAGACCACACAGAACCTAAAAGGTACACTTTCAAATTAAATAAAAAAAAAAAAATACATAAAGCGCCTCTTTTTTTAGGTGTTTATTATAACACAGACAACATATACAGTTATTTTAAACACTTTCAATAGTGTTTTATAAAAAATTCAAAGGGTTTTCTTTAAAATGATACCAAATTCTTGCATTTACACCTCTTTATGTGGATTTGAAAAGCTTTTAAATTTGGGTAGGCAAAATCCAGGCGGAAATCCCCAAATAGCAGCAGAGTTTAAGTGGTTAACTGAATGTATTGTAATTACATTACAACATCAGTGCTGTAAAATCAACCTTGTAAAATTGAAAATAGCCACCTTGAACTTTCACCAGAAGTTTATTGTTGGCTTAATCTCTCTAGCTGTGCATAGAGCCCATTGACTGGGAAATTGATAAAAATCATCATTATCAAAAGAGTCAGCCAACTTCAGGCACACAGAAACAGTTCGGTTTTGTTTTTATTTTAGCCATTATACAGTATATTAAACTACATCCCGCAGTTCCCATAAATTTTGGGTTTTGTTTTAGAAACTGCATTCTTAATGTCACCTCAATTGGTCTGAGGTCAGGTAATTTTGCATAGTTGTGCATTTCTGGAACTTTAATCTTGACAACAGGAAAATGTATAAATAAGTTTGTTTGTTTTAAACAGAAGCCATTTATTGGTGTACTTTTTAACCACAATATTTTTTTACAAAAAAATAAACCAAATTGAGTTAAAGGAGAGTGCTATGTTAGTACAATGTTTTTTTTAACAGTTTGAATATGTGCTTACACAGGGCATGCTTACTTTCCTGGCTCCCAGCTTCTTATGTGTTGGGGAACTTCAGTGTTCTTGCAGTGGGAGTGTGGGCCATAGCACAGAGAGACTCCATAGATGCTGTTTTATTGGTAGGTGGGTTTTTTCATGCATGAAGGCTTTTTAGGCAATTGATTTGTTCTTTATTAACGACCGATGAAAAATCCATAACTAGACTTTTGACTATTCACTCACCGGCCACTTTATTAGGTACACCTTTCCAACTTCATGTTAGCACAAATTTCTAATTAGCCAATCACATGGCAGCAACTCAATGCATTTAGGCATGTAGACATGGTCAAGACGATTTCCTGCAGTTCAAACTGAGCATCAGAATGGGGAAGAAAGATGATTTAGGTGACTTTGAATGTGGCATAGTTGTTGGTGCCAGACGGGCTGGTCTGAGTATTTCAGAAACGGCTGATCTACTGGGATTTTCATGCTCAACTGTTTGTAAGGTTTACAGAGAATGCTCTAAAAAAGAGAACATATCCAGTGAGTGGCAGTTCTGTGGGTGCAAATCCCTTGTTGATGCAAGAGGTCAGAGAAGAATTACCAGGTTAGTTTGAGCTAATAGAAAGACAACAGTAACTCAAATAACCACTCGTTACAAACAAGGTATGCAAGAGAATTTCTGAATGCACAATACGTTGAATCTTGAGGCGGATGGGCTGCAGCAGCAATAGAACACACCAGGTGCCACTTCTGTCAGCTAAGAACAGAAAACTGAGGCTACAATTCGCACAAGCTCACAAAAATTTAACAATAGAAGATTGGAAAAACGTTGTCTGGTCTGACGAGCCTCAGTTTCCGCTGCAACATTCGGTTGGTAAGGTCAGAATTTGGTGTCAACAACATGAAAGCATGAATTCATTCTGCCTTGTATCAATGGTTTAAGCTGGTGGTAGTGGTGTAATGGTGTGGGGGATGTTTCCTTGCCAAACTTTGGGCCTGTTAGTACCAATTGAGCGTGGTGTCAACGCCACAACTTACCTGAGTATCATTGCTAATCATGTCCATCCCTTTATGACCACAGGGTACCCATTTTGTACCTATCCTCTAATGGCTACTTCCAGCAGGATAACGCACTATGTCATAAATCGTGAATCATCTCAGACTGGTTGCTTGAACATGACAATGAATTCATTATTTTCAAATGGGGTTCAACCCAGTACTAGTAATGTGTACCTAATAAAGTGGCCAGTGAGTGTATTTCCTCAATGCATTTCTTTAATGCATGGTGCTTAGCCCTTTTTAGCTAAGCACAATGCTCTAAGGAAAAGAACAGCTGGAATAGCATGTATACTGTAGCAAGAAATTCCAGGAAACATTCAGTGTAAGGTTAAAAAGTTGATGACTACTGTTACTGTATATATCTTCAAGTCGAGGTTAAATGTTTTAGTGTGTGTGCATGTGTGTGTGTAATATATTTGCTATACTAATGTTTGGTCTTTGCTCTCTTCCATGAAGTTCTTGATCGGACTGGCAGTGACAATCTTGACTGATATTGTTCATTTTGGGATCTACTATGCAGCAGCTGAACTCCTATACGAGAGATCCACACGGGACCTGTTCCGCTTTAGTGGAGGCATGGCCATCCTGAGCCTCTTGCTCAAACCTGTCTCCTGCTTCTTTGTCTACCAAATGTACCGTGAGCGAGGGGGTGAATACAATGTCAATTTTGGTGAGTAACCGAAGGCCTGAGGAAGAAAGAATAATTGGTGACTGATTCATTTTGGTCCATAGTGGTTTGTGATGCATGGAAAAGTATTTCAGTAGGGATAAAATACCACCATTGTTTGCTCAGGGTCCAAAACATTATTGAGCCTATTTCAATTATATAGTTCTGAGCAGTACTTCACTGAATATGGAAAGAAAAATAAGTATTTAAAAAAATAGGAGCGGGTAATTGAATTTTAGAACCGGTCACAAGACACATGCCTGACAGAGTGGCCCCCAGAAATAACAGCCTGACTATAATTTTAAGAACAGCATTGGGTCTAAAGGAATTAGGCCTGTTTTCACTGACTCTTTACTGTTAGATCTTTTTGATCCTTGATCATAGTTGGTTTGATTGTGGTTTTTAATAGTATAGGCCTATATAAAAAATAAAATAAAGTTTTTGTTTTTTGAGAAATCATCCAATCTTCATAGTTCAAAAGTTTAGCTGTGTGGATATCATAGTAGACCAGTGTTTTGGAAAATAGCCAAAAGGCACATATAAAACGTTTTGTGGAAAACACAGTGATGGAGATTATAGAACAGCAATAGAGAAAGCATGGAGAAAGATAACAACTAACATTTGAGTTTGCAGCATATCTGAAAGCAGCAGGAAGTATGCAGGCTCTTGCTTTGAATGACCAGCACAGATGCGTACAAAGAACTTTAATAGTATCTCACACTGCTATGATTAAATATATTGGTCTTGCTGCAGAAGAAAATTTCCCAAACCGTGACACTTCCTCATCCACATTTCACCAACTTTTTTATATATGTAGGTTTCAGTTTTCTTCAATTTAATGACAAACATTCTTGAAAATATTTATTTACTGACCCAAATAAAATGAAACATGATTTCATCACTAAATTGAACTTTGGACCAGTTCTCGCCTGTTCACACCTCATGTTCCTCAGCAAACGAAAGTCTACCATTTTGATTATTTCTTCTTCAGCCACTGCAGAGTAGGTTTCAGTCAAATTTCTCTTACACTTTTTCTTTTAATTGCTAATGTTGCTTTTTCCAATCTGTAGTTACATTTTCAAAACTCTAAACAGAACTAGCATAACATTGACCTGTTGTCATCATACCATTAACCCCAAACTATTTATTGTTTGCACACAACGAGTACGTTTACATGGACACCAATAATCTGATTTTAATTTTTTAAGTCTACCATGTTGTAAGGGACCGAGCCAGCACATATAGTAAGGGGCATACAAAAAGAAGATTGCCAAAACAATTATTTTTTATAAAGTCAAAAAAAAAGTTTCAAATTAAAAAACAAATGAATTAAATAATTAAATCAATTGAAAATTCAATAAACTAAACAAAGAAAACAAACTGAGTTCAAACCAAACAAATCATGTCTAAACCAAATACAGAACTCCATGAAATGACAAGACAGACCACATTTATACAAGAGGGACTAGTCCACAGTAAACAAGAAGGGGGATACAAAAACAGACAATTTGCAAAAACAATAAACTAAGCCAAATATCTAAATACAAATCTAAATAGTTAAATAAATTCTAAATAAGGCAAAAATAAATATAAATCTGAACAAACAAACACTGCAAATTATTAATGAACTTAAACTTAACATCAGCTCTCCCTCCAAGCCATTAAGCCAATGGTATCGGTAGACGAATCTAAAAGACAGCACTTGGCGGCACATCAGCCCTTTTGTTTGTCGGACAACACTGTTCCTGAAACTGTTCCTCATCGGCACTGCAGCATGGTAACTTAAACTCAAAAGAATACTAAATTAACAAAACATACAGTACAGATAACCGATTTAGTGTGCACCCAAAATAGTAATGCATGTACTGTGAATAATAAAGTAAAGTAATAAGAAACAGAAAGTGTATGTGTCTTAATTAAATCAGATATGAAAGAAACTAAATATAAAACAACTTCATTGAACTAAACGAATAAATTAGCTTAAATGAATGTGTATAGTGTGTGTGTGTGTATATATATATATGTAGTGTGTGTGTGTGTGTGTATAAGTGTATGCATGTGTGCGTGCTTGCCTCAATCAATGTGTGGCCACCACACTGGCCAATCACATACTCCCTCCTTTAGGGAATGTCACTGGCACATCGGGACAAATGGTCAGCCATAAGGTTTTCTTTGACAAAAAAAGATTTTCTGATTGAAAAACGGAAGGGCTGCATGGCCAGGTACCAGTGGGTAATACGACTGTTGGTATCTTTCATTTCTTGAAGCCATTTCTTGAAGCCATTGTAGTGCTTTATGATCGGTCTTCAGTATAAACTCCCAGCCTAGCAGATAATACTTCAGAGAGTCCAATACCCACTTCACAGCCAAGCATTCCTTTTCCATGATGAAATAGCGAACTTCCCTGGGGAAGAGCTTTCGACTCAAGAAGGCCACTGGGCGTCGTGTGTCAGAGCTACCCTGCAGCAATACAGCTCCCAGGCCTAGATCTGAAGCATCAGTTTGCAAAACAAAGGGTTGGTGTAAATCGAGGTTATGCAAGACAGAATCTCTACTCAAGGCCTTTCTGAGATCTTGGAAAGCTGCAACGGTGTTTTGGGTCCACTTCAGCTGATTGGGACTCCTTGAACCAACCATGTCTGTCAATACTGCAGTTGGGAATAAATCTGTGATAGAACCCAGCCATACCCAAAAAGGACCTCAACTCCTTATGAGTTTGTGGCTGTGGACACTCTTCAATGGCCCGTACCTTCTCCATCTGAGGTCGGAGCACCCCTTTACTGATAACAGACAGTACTCTGTCTCTGCCTTTGCGATGTAACACTTTTGGGGATTAACTGTCAGTTCTGCGTTGCAGAACTTCCTGGAGATGCTGCAGATGTTGCTGCCATGTGATATTGTAAACCACAATATCATCCAGATAAGCAGCTGTAAATGGTAGTCCTTGCAGTACCTGGTCCATTAGTCTTTGGAAGCTGGCCGGTGCCCCATGCAGTCCAAAGGCTAGAACCTTAAAATGGAATAGGCCCTAGAGGGTTTTAAACGCAGTAAGTTCTCTGGACTGCTGAGTCAATGGAATCTGCCAATAACCTTTTGAAAGATCAGTTTGAGGTACCCAGTCGATCAGTGAGATCACTGATTTGTGATTCGTGAGTAGGGTAAGCATCAAACTTGGTCACAGAGTTGAGGTAACGAAAGTCTATTTAGAACTTTATAGACCCATCCTTTCTCGGAACAAGGACCATAGGGGGGCAGCACTCACTTTTAGAGGGCTTTATAATCCCCAGCCTCAGCATGAGATCCACCTCCTCTTTCAGTGCTTCTTGGAGACGTTCAGGGACCCTGTAACTCATTCTTCGCACTACAGCATCGAGTTTCAACTTAATATTATGTTCGATCAAGATAGTAAAGCCAAGGTACTCTGAAAAGACTTCTGTTAAACAAATGTCTCTTACCACATGCTGTTGCTGTGGGGACAGGTGACTCAGATCCACATCTCCTAGAGCTGACTGGTGCAGAAATACTTCAGAATCATCCTCTTCTTTGTCTTGCCGGATCATCAAGCTGTGGCTAGATCCAGGAGGATGAGGAAACCATTGTTTAAGCAGATTTATATGCAGTGTACGTGTAGAATGAGCATGGTCAGATGCAACTTCATGTGTGGTAGGACCCAGTTTCCTTTTGATTTCATACAGCCCCTGCCACTTTGCAAGCAGCTTATTTTCATGACTGGGCAACATAAGAAATTAGCTTAAATGAATGTGTATTTTGTTTGTTTGTGTGTGTGTGTGTGTGTGTGTGTGTGTGTGTGTGTGTGTGTATAATATATATATATATATATATATATATATATATATATATATATATATATATATATATATATATATTAGTGGTGTCAACCGATTAAAAAAACTAATTAATTGCACCTTTTAAAAAAAATGATCACGATTAATCGCATTTAAAATACTGAAACTTGTCATTTTGGCTATTCAAATGTAAAATTACTGTAAACACAAGACAAAAACTATTTCAATTCAAAATATAATTGTTTATTAGAATTTTGTTCATAACCACAATAAACCATCAAGATCCTGGCTTGACAGCCATATTTATTACAGAAATTAAAACAGAGGCATGTTAATGCCATTTGAATTTCAAAACAATCAATGCCAATAAAAAAAACATTGATTTCCATGTTGGATTCTTAGTGGACTGCAAAAAAATGCCAAAATACAGGCATTACAGATATGGAAAATGGAAAATTATAATAATGAACTATTGAATACAAACAGTTGCACTCATTGTAAGGTTTTATTGCTGTGAGTTGAGAACATTAATTATAAAGTAGAAACAATTTTGCTTAATCCTCCTATACATTTATCTAGTTGCTAAGACTAGGAGTATCCCGCAAATCGCTCACTCCACCCCTGACACCCATCAATGAGCCTGACACAGACACACAGACAGACACACACACAACACGCTGGAGGGACTCCCTTCAGATTAAACACGCATGATCGCGTTCATCAAATTTGCTTAAACTAAGCGTCCTAAAGTATTTTTGTATTACACAAGCATTCTGACACAACAGCGCCAAGCAAACGATTTTGTTGTGTTTAATGAGGAAACATGCTAAACATGGAGGGCTCATGCTGAAAGGCAGAGTAATGCCCTGTCTTTGACAGTTCGCGACTTCACCAGAGACTTTCTGAGTACATTTACATAAGACACCAATACTCCGATTTTAATATGATTAAGATTATACTCTTATTAAAAGTCTACCATGTAGCCTAAGCAGCGATTTTATAACCTTAAAGGAACACCGAGTCACGAAATGTGGAGGATTTTCTTTCTGTTCGCCATGCGGTATCAACTTACAACCGAAGTCGAAAGTTAAAAATGAAACACCCGAAATTGCATGAAACTCTGAATGACCTCTAATGCAACTAATTGTTTTATAGTAAAACTTTCCTTCAAAAAGTGCTTCCTTGGTCTTATCCACA